CTCATTATCTTCACTCCTGAAATTTGGATCCTTGGCGTTAAGTACTCGGTATCGTCTCGGTAAGGCTCAAACGCGCGTTACTAAAAAAATATATATCGCTCATCATTCGACACTACGAGTTTCTTGATATACTCGACAACTGAAACATTCATAATTGCACATTTAGCACCTTAGAGTTAATACATCGAAATGAAAGAAAAACCTTAAACATGCGACGGGTAAAAAGATTATCAGAAGCCTGAAAAGCAGACCATCAGGAATTGGGAACATTTGAAACGGGAATGCCAAATCGTTCCCTTATCCTACGATACCTCGTTAATCTAATTTACTCAGCTACCCAAATTCTCTTATTTAGTATCTAAGAATTAATACGCGTGAAGGAGAAACACATAGATTTTCAGATCTGCGATGGGTTAAATGATTTCCACCGAAGCCTCCGAACTCTTAGAATTTTTAACGAGAAAATCGGAAGGGGCGATGCGACTTTCGTATCTTTCTTTGCAGTGCTCGACGTTAAGATTTATTGTAAGAGGGATAAATACTTAATCAGGCGCCGTCGACAGGTCGATAGCCATCCTTGTGGCGAATACAGAATTCGGGTCAAGAACTCGCAGGTCCGCTATGAACGCGCGCTCGACATTGTCCCGGCGCATAAATGTCGCGATATGTATGCCGGTCATCGTACGTGTGCCGATCACGATATGTATGCCGATCGCGACATGCGTGCCAATCGGACGTTAGAACGCTAGAGCATTAATACCGCATAATTCTAAATGGAAACGAGAAAGATCGTCCGCTTCATTCGAAGCAACATGAATGGAAGAATAAATATATCGACGAATTTATCGCGGCATGATAACACCTCGAGTCGATCGCATTTGCATTTAAATTGCAATTCGCCCGCTTCCGATGTGCATTAGCATGCAATATGCTCCTCGGGTTGTTTTCCCCCCCGAGCTGAATGCACCGCTTTGCGCTCGTTTCACCTTAGGGCATCTCCTGCCATTTATGGGTTTATCGTGCCGGGGGTCAAATTATTAGTCACCTCCTCAATAAAATAACGGTTCTCACGTGAGCACAGCCGATGAACCGTGACGCGATCGACACAGTCTATAGACAAAGTGCCCGAGGATCATGCGCGGGAAAAGTGCACCCTGAGATCGAGGAAAGGATGGAGGGGAATTTCTTTGGGGAAGCCGAACTTCTTCCGGATTCTCACCTAATTACTCTTTGACCCAGCATGTTCATTTTCAGTCTAGAATTTATAATTTCACATCGATCAATCCCATGGATATATATTATTTCTCTTCTTTTCCGATGCATTTCCGAAGGGTGCACCTGTTTCCATGTCTCGTGGAAACTCTCTCGATTAAATTCTACTTCGGATTTTCCCCTAATTACTCTTCGATCCAACGTGTCTTTTCAGCCTGGAATTTCTAATTTCACATCCATTAATCCCGCGGATGTATTTCATTTCTCTTCTTTTTTTCATGCATTTCCGTGGGGTGCACCTGTTTCCACGTCTCGTGGAAACTCTTTCGATTAAATTGGAGGAAAGAAATTGTAGCTCTCGGAAAGGTCGCTCGGATCGATGAAAATACCCGGTATTATAGCTCTTCGATCAGCTGAGTACCATGCGATCGTATTCGAAGCACGTGGTGTCGAAGGAGCGATTCTACAAACGACCCCACGTGGGTGCGGCCTAAGGTGCGGTTGCAGCGACTCCGCCATGCACCATTCCGATTACTAATGCGTACTCTATTTAAGTCGCTTACATGGGACCTCGCACCAAGGTGGCACTAAATCAGAAGTAACGCAACGTGGACTTTTTCGGCCCCCCTTTACTTCCTAGAGAGAGCGTTCATCTTGGACCGTGTCGCTGCGCTCGAGATGAGATTTCATCTCGATGGACTTTTTACATTTTTTTTTTTTTTCTAAGAGTAGTATCGTTCACATAAATGATTTTTACGGCAGGATGCGAGCTTCGAGAAACGGAGGATGAGAGGGATTTATCTTCGACTTCGCGACCAGCCTCCGTTGCCCCACGTCAGCCTGGTGCAGCGCAAAACCGTTTCGACGGTGCACTTAGGGCATTGCATGCATGCCGCGCCTGGAATTAATTAGCGATGATTGCGGCCTGCGCTTGACGTTAATCCCAATGGCCGCCCTTCAGTTGGACAGTGTTCAGACATTTTGCACAGCTTACACGGGACCACCCGTTCCCTCCCACTCGACCGCTCCTCTCCGTACAACGTACGTCCATGGTGTGTACGCTGCACCGGTGCACGGGATGACGACGTCGGTAATTATGGACGATGCGTGACTGTGACAACAAGTTTTTACGAAACATTTTGTCGAGATATTCGAGGGCATAAATTAATTTCGGATAAGATCTGCCATTTAATTCGGTGTAAGGAGCCCTTAGGCCAATTGCACCAATTGCGATTAGTGTGAAGTTCCTCAAGATTAGTTAATCTCTGATTAGTGAAGTCCGTATTCAACAAGAATTAGGTTAATGGAAGATTAATATCCAGGATTAACCATAATCACGTGTTAATTAATTCAAGATAAAGATTTTTAACTCAAATGTTGGCATAACTGGTCCTTATTATGGTCTTTGATATTCGACACTACTTGGGAACGTTTTCAAGAAGAAGTGGAAGGCCTTGGAAGGAGCTGGGAAAATTTAGGAAAAAAATTGGAGATTGAAGAGGAGAAGTAGAGGGGGGGTTCATAGCAGAGCTTGGGGATCAGGACAGATCCTTGACAGTCCTCTCGAGAAGAGGCTGATGGCATTTATCACACTTGACAGAGCGCAGAGCTCGATCTTGGGAGCTCGTCACCGCCGCCATTTTATTCCCCGAGTGTCAAGTACCTTAAAAAGTTATGCAAAAACATCAACAAATAAAGTACTCTCAGTGCCACCGATATATCAAACTACCGCAGATCCTTTAAATCTTCGAAAACCTAGAAAAATAACGCAGACTGGAAATCTGCTCCATTTCCAACATCTCCTAAAAACAGTTCCTTAAGAAGTACCTTAAAAAGTTATGCAAAAACATCAACAAATGAAGTACTCTCTGTGCCACCGATATATCAAACTACCGCAGATCCTTTAAACCTTCGAAAACCCAGAAAAATAACGCAGACTCGAAATCTGCTCCATTTCCAACATCTCCTAAAAACAGTTCCTTAAGAAGTACCTTAAAAAGTTGTGCAAATACTTCAACAAATAAAGTACTCTCTGTGCCCCCGATATATCAAACTACCGCAGATCCTTTAAATCTTCGAAAACCTAGAAAAATAACGCAGACTCGAAATCTGCTCCATTTCCAACATCTCCTAAAAACAGTTCCTTAAAAAGTACCTTAAAAAGTTATGCAAAAACTTCAACAAATAAAGTACTCTCAGTGCCACCGATATATCAAACTACTGCAGATCCTTTAAACCTTCGAAAACCCAGAAAAATAACGCAGACTCGAAATCTGCTCCATTTCCAACATCTCCTAAAAACAGTTCCTTAAAAAGTACCTTAAAAAGTTATGCAAAAACATCAACAAATGAAGTACTCTCTGTGCCACCGATATATCAAACTACCGCAGATCCTTTAAATCTTCGAAAACCCAGAAAAATAAGGCAGACTCGAAATCTGCTGCATTTTCAACATCTCCTAAAAACAATTCAACGGATCCGAAAAATTCCCCTAGCAAAAATAATTTCCATCCACGATATACTTAAAACCAACGCGTCTTTTAGAAAATCTAAGGTACATTGCGCAAGGATCGCTACGGCCTCGTTTTTCTGTCCCGAATATGAAAAGCCATTGCACAACGTACACTCGCGGCGCCTCAAAGTGCATCGTCGGCGCTTTTGAGCGTTGCAAACATCGCTCGTGGAAAGCATTATCTCTTTCGGGCCTTGTCGGGCCTGGATTGACAAGGTCTCGGAGGAGATGCATCGGCGAAGTCACTCGAGTATCTCGTATGTCAATCTTTCCGGGGAGGGCGAGATGCACTCCTCGATGCACGCGCCGACTGCACTCGGCCCGATCCGATTGCATCGGGTTCTCGAATTATTGGCTCGACCTTACGCACACGTGTAATTAGATCGCCCGACGAGACGATTACGTGCGGGATAAGTAATACGTGCTTCGGTGTGTATTCCAGTATTTACATAATACCCCCGATTCGCGGAGGAGCCAGAAATGCGCCGGAATTGCAACGAGGTGCGCGTGCCCGGTGCAACGAGGCGGTGCAACGCCAGCGGCTGCAGTTAAGCCCGAATCTGCATGAGAATCGACCGTGGACAGTAATTGCACCCCTAGCCGAGTTTTCTTACGAATTTCCACGGACAAGTGAAGGGGTTCGCGGTATCGTTGTTAGGTGCAGGGGGTAACGTGGAATAGAAATATCGCGGGAGCAGCGATGCAATTTCCTCCTCTTTCTCATTACCCCAAACAGTTCGTCCTTTTCTGCAGAATTCCTGGACAAAACATCGCACATAAAATCCTGAAAGTCCCTCGACGTCTCATGTACGAGGATCCCACGAATTCCAATTTCGATTTATCCTATCATAAATATTATTGAAAATTATTGAAAAATTGGCCATACGTGAAAATCGTATCTGGGAGTAACACGGCACGGACGGGTGCCCGTTGTCTGGATAAATCGCGTATCCCAGGAAATTAATTTCTGTTACTCTCTATCAATTCCCGGACACAGATAGTACCGACAGTAAAACGAAGAATTTATCAGATCGAAGTAAAAGCGGAGCATATCCAATATATTTCCCGAGGTTCGATTCAATCACACCGTTCCACGAGGAACAGCTCGTTCTCGGAAGAGAGCAAGTTTTACGGGTCGGCATAAAAAATGCGAAATCCTTGGCCGCCACTTTATGGGCAGTAACCAGGAAACTTTACTTTACGAGGGCCGGCTACGATCGGAGGGGGGGCACAGGAAGTGCGGGACGAGACCGGAAGTGTTGTTTGAAGTACGAACCTTGTTGCGGTAAGTGCTCGGCAAGCAAGCCCACTGGGCGTAGCTCATGTGAACCATCCTGGCCAGGCTTCGTTTCCGGATTCCCCTTTATCCTATCGCGAGAACCACGAGATCCCCCAGGTTTCCCCCAGGAACCGGGATTTTTCTTTCGGGACCCGGTCGAGGGAGAAATCTGCCCCGGAGCGCCGCTCCTCGGAATTGTCTTCCTCAAATAGTCGATAATAAAGTCCTTTCTCGAAGGCAAACTTCGCCGCACGGGTTATCAATATCGTTCTCCTTTTTCAGGACATAGACCGTCCCCGGTCAAAAGAAAGCGCTTTTCCCTGGAACTCCACTCAAACCTCTTGAATTGTCGAGCGCAGGCATCACCCCGACTGTTTCTTCTATCTCTTTTTTAATTTTCCTCTTCCCTTTTTCTTTCACTTTCCTCGGATCGATACATGGCTTCGTCTACAGATTTTGATAAGCCGAATCGTTGTTACGGACGAATGAGAATTTCTATTCTATTTTAACCCTTTCGTTACCTTGGACGAGATATCTCGCGACCCAATACCGGCCGATTAACGCTTTTGACGAGATATCTCGCGACCCGATACTGGCCGATCAACGCTTTTGACGAGATATCTCGTCAAAACATAACATAATGCTCAAAACATACCATAAGCGACATAAAAACTCAAAGGCAGAACACAAAATAATTTGTCTACAATGTCAAAATATTAGTGCTAGGAAGCTAGATTATCGTCAAAAGCGTTAATCCGCTACTACCGGGTCGCGAGATATCTCGTCAAAAGCGTTGATAGGCTACTACCGGGTCGCGAGATATCTCGTCAAAAGCGTTAATCGGCCAGTATTGGGTCGCGAGATATCTCGTCCAAGGTAACGAAAGGGTTAACGGGTGGGTTTTCTCCAAGTTCCACGTGGGTTGGGAGGAAATTCAAACGTTTTGATGATTTAGTGATTACGACGGTACGTATCATTTTAACGGAAATATGTCATCCGAGACATGTCTAGCATCGGGAATGCGAGGTCCGACATCATACACGCAGACATATCGAGACTGGTTCTTGTCAGCGATCGATCTCGAAGATCACGTAGCTATGTCACGATCGATAGCTTCCCACGGTGACGCATGTCGGTCGTCAATCCCGATTGCCGATCGCCCTCCAATTCTAGAGTTCGATCCCACCGATCAAATCGATAGGCATCCGTGAGAGACCTGACTCATCCGCCAATTGCGCGATCGAGCTTTAAGACCGGGAGATTAAATGCACTTCGCCGACGCCCGACCTGCGAATTTCAAGGAACAAAGGAATCTACAACCGGGAATTGGCATCGAACATTATTTGCGACTTTGTGGGGGGTAATGTCTAATTTATCGTTTGATCGACGGTCATATGTGCCCATAATTATGAAAGTGGTCTAAGTCATATATTTTTTGTTTCGAAATTACATCGAATTAATTTCGTTTGAAATAATGTGGCGTGAAATAACTGATAAACTCATTTTTTTTTTCAATTTTGACTTAGACCACTTTCATAATTATGAGCACGTATCATAATCGGTCCGATAGCTGTTTCCTCGCGGAGATCGATATCAGCTGTCACTCGCTATGACTATATCCCGACCCGATGGCAAATGCACGGCTCGTGATAGGTGCAATTTATCACCACTCGACTTTACCTGCGATCATTATTCACCTGTATGATCGGAGCCTCGTAAAGCCGTAATTTTTCTCCCCCAGCACCGGCTCATTAATTTCCTGCGATTAATCACCACGAGAACTTGGAGAATCCGAGTCCAACATCGTAGACAACCGATGTACCGCGCTTGTAAACAGTAGCTTTTTCGCGATTCTTATCACCTGTCAATTCGGATCGCTACGTTATCACCGTATCCCCTTCCTCTCGATAACATCAAACGGAGTGACGATATGTTTCCCCGAAAATCGCCTCCCGCGGCTCGAATGATCTGCATTCGATTGCGCACCCTTCAAACGATTTTAATTTGTCACCGATCACTGACTACCTTTCGATATTCGATAATGACGCTTCTCACTCGTCGTTCCGTCAACCTGAGGAAATAACGTTCTGAAATTCTTCGCGAGAAACCGCCACCAGGAGATTTCACATGTAATTTCACCCGCTTTCCAAGGAATTATCGTTTCACCCCCCCGAGGGGTGAGACTTCACTCGCTGTTTATTTCCGCACAGAGTAATCACCGGTCTCGATTTTTTCCGGGATATTGATCCACGCGATTAATTCCAACACTTCGATTTCGAGTAGGTGTCCGCTGTTGCGGTTAGATCCCGACTATCGATCACCGTTCGATCCGTGATCGGAGGGAGCGAACCGATCTCTTCGGCGGGCGGTCGCCTTTTGACTCGTTCCTTATCCGCGATCGTTATCCCCGGGAGGGGATACCGCCAGTATCTACGGTATCGCGAGTATCTACGGTATCGATAGTATCGATAGTCCTTAGGGTCGTAGATCCACTAACTTATGAGTCGACACTCGCGACCGCCTCGCGACGTCGGACCACCGACTCGCGCGAGGAAACGATCGCTACTCGCTGCTCGCTTCTCGCTTCCCGGTGAACAGCCGAGCGGCGAAAGCGGTAATAACTGCCACTGGCCCAAGGAATGACAGCTACGGCTTGTTCCTGCCAGTCGAGTAGCTACACGGAGACTTCAGGGCCGTGCCAAGGGCCCGAGACCGCACGACATTTCCCACGAGTAACCGATACTCCCGGCAGCGCCTTCTGAGTAATGCGACACCCGCAACGGATCCGCAAATTGGCTGCAATTAATATGCAATCATGCCCTTCGTTACATTCCTGATTTTTGTTAGAAACTTTTCCTGCTTTAGAATTTTCTCCACAACTTTTCACAGATGAAAATATTTATTTGGGTCTCACAGAAAACGGCGACGGAGTTAACGCGACACCCGCAACGGATCCGCAAATTGGCTGCAATTAATATGCAATCATGCCCTCCGTTACATTCCTGATTCTTATTCGAAACTTTTCCTGCTTTAGGTTTTTCTTCAGAACTTTTCACAGTGGAAAATATTTATTTGTGTCTCTCAGAAAACAGCGACGGAGTTAACGCGACACCCACAACGGATCCGCAAATTGGCTGCAATTAATATGCAATTATGCCCTTCGTTACATTCCTTATTTTTATTCGAAACTTTCCCTGCTTTAGAATTTTCTTAAGAACTTTTCACAGGTGAAAATATTTATTTGTGTCTCTCAGAAAACGGTAACAGGGTTAACGCGACACCCGCATCGGATCCGCAAATTGGCTGCAATTAATATGCAATCATGCCCTTCGTTACATTCCTGATTTTTGTTAGAAACTTTTCCTGCTTTAGAATTTTCTCTACAACTTTTCATAGATGAAAATATTTATTTGTGTCTCTCAGAAAACGGTAACAGGGTTAACGCGACACCCGCAACGGATCCGCAAATTGGCTGCAATTAATATGCAATCATGCCCTCCGTTACATTCCTGATTCTTATTCGAAACTTTCCCTGCTTTAAAATTTTCCCCAGATCTTTTCACAAGTGAAAATATGTATTCGTATCTCTCAAAAAATGGCGACAGGGTTAACGCGACACCCGCAACGGATCCGCAAAATGACTGCAATTAATATACAATCATGCTTTCCGTTACATTCCTTATTTTTATTCGAAACTTTCCCTGCCCCAGGATTTTTCCCAGATATTTTCACACATGGAAATATTTATTTGTATCCCTTAGACCACGGTGCTTCCTTTTTTATCTTCATATATACCTTCCTCAATTGGCATAATGTATATTGTCGTCAGGTACGTTAAATGAATATGTGGGGAAATGGATGGTATAATACAATTTTTCGAATAATGGTACCACCGGAAATTTGTTTATGTCATTGATATCCAAGTGATCATGTATCGAAAAAGTGTGGAAAGAAAGGAGAAAATCTGTATAGAGGAGACATAGATTTTAAGATGACATTTTCGTGGGAAAGTAATTTCTCTCGGATCACGTCTATGAATCGGTGGCATGTAACCTTCAACTTTTTTATTTAAAATATATAACTGTGTCGCTTTTACGATCCCTACATGAAACGCGAGTGTCAGAAGAGTGCCTCTCTTTGTCGCGAGAAACACAACGCGGCTTTTGTGCTTACGTAACGTGCTTCGGTTCTTTTCAAACGAGCAATGCGCGACGCATCTTCGCTCACTTTTCCCCGATGCGAGGGAATGTACCTAGATAAATGTGACATCACCTAGGAGCGAACACGGTGGTTCGGAATAATGAAGGCGGTTAGCGTCTTTGTACACGTGGCGATATGACGGTTTGACAGGAGCCCCGAGAGGATTACAATACGCGCTGCCAGACCTAGAATTATGGATATGAGTTTAGTTTACCCAGATCGCGAGATGTCCAAAGTTGGTGTTACCCAGCATCCCGAGTGTAACCCTTTCATCCCACGTCCAATCGTACAAACAAACCCACTCTATACGAGACGATTGAAATCAAAGTAATAAAAACTTATCATTTCAAGCGTAACAATACAAGCTCATTTTACCCAATATACTTGAAATCTAAACAATCAATCATTTGTATGTCGAGAATTCCTAGTCCATATCACTCAAATCGTGGAACATGAAAACATCCAATTATCTTTATTCCTGGGATTCTTCGTCCAGTTTTGCAAGCTCATTTCACGCGATATGCGTAAAGTCAGAATAATCAACAATTTTTATTTAATCGTCATATTTTTATCGCCTTATCGCGAACGCAAATCCACGAAGAAAGGGTAAGCCCTGATTATAAAAATCTCATTTTTATCTTTTCATCCATTCCATCCGAAAGGATAATCCACAATGTTTATTTAGTCGTCATATTTTTATCGCGTCATCGCAAACGCAAATCCATAAAGAAAGGGTAAGCCCTAATTCAAAAAATCTCATTTTCATCTTTTCATCCATTCCATCCAAAAGGATAATCCACAATTTTTATTTCATCGTCATATTTTTATCGCCTCACCGTGAACGCAAATCCATGAAGAAACGGTAAGCCCTGATTCAAAAAATCTCATTTTCATCTTTTCATCCATTCCATCCAAAAGGATAATCCACAATTTTTATTTCATCGTCATATTTTTATCGCGTTATCGCGAACGCAAATCCATGAAGAAAGGGTAAGCCCTGATTAAAAATATCACTTTTTTATCATTTCATCCACTCCATCCGAAAGGATAATCCACAATTTTTCATCTCATGGATCCCTCGTCCAACTCTACCAACTCATTTCACGCGATATGCGTAAAGTCAGAATAATCAACAATTTTCATTTCATCGTCATATGTTTACTGTATCATCACGAACGCGAATGCATGAAGAAACGTTTAAGCCCTCTTCGAAAACATGTAATTCTCATCTATTCGTCCATTCCATCAAGAGGGAACCATCGATGAACGTCAGGGGCCCCGCAGGCCCCTGACACGGCCCTGGGTCGGTATTTCTTCGTCGAACACACGTACTCTTGGTGGGTATGCCTCGAGTCGTGCGGGTGGCATGTACGAGAGAGAGGTCTAAGAGGCCCTAATGCATTCGAGGGGGAATGCGAGTCTCTCGATGAGTCACTCGACTTACCGAACGAGCCGATGCACTCCGAGCGATAGACAAGGGACCGCCACGGATTTTGAAAAGCGCCGAAAAATCCGGAAAGTAAAAGCGTCTTCGCAAACTCTTCAAACTGCACCGTTCCAATTTGTATTTAATTAAAAAAAAGGAAAAAAAAAATTATTACGATCGATGGTTCCCACGGAAACTTTTTTTTCCCAGCATGTGTACGGTGCATCTGAGTTGGAATATATAGATAAAGGTAAAGTACGGATAAATGCCCTGGTAGAATGGATATGCCACGTTTTCCAGATCTTTGAGATAAAAGAACTTTCAGTACTTGACGTCCCTGCTTGCATAGCCTTTCCCCCCGGCACTTCACTTACGACGCACATCCCCAAAGTACGCACGCGCGTAATGTCACGATCGCTTAAAGAAATCAGTGCATCGGATTTGCCCGTAAAGTTTTTCTAAACTCGAAGCAGCTGTTGTAAAAATAGATAACTGACCCGCAAGGTAACATCTTTACCCCATTTTTATTTTATAAATATAACAAATAAAGACCTCCGTTTTCCTCACCACTCCTTGTAACGTTTACTTTGATATGTACGAAGGCATCTATCCGCATCTAAAAGGAAAGATGCCTAAACTATCACATTTTTGGTACGGATACAGGCCATTTCTTGTAGAAAGTGATTCCACGAGGATTGCCCAGATTACGAGGTTTATTGCATTTCATGTCACGTACATGTCGAGTATTAAAGTCTCATATACTATAAGATGATGTTTTTCAAAGTTTTTAATGTTGTCTTGGAATTATTTCTTGATATCCAAATTAGGAAATAAATGTTGTCCTAACGTAAATACCCCCCTCCCTCAATTTACGTCATTATTTTTTGTTATGTGTGTATATGTATGTATGCATTTCTAAAACTTATATGTATTAACATTAATTTGCAATATTTTTTCTTTTGTCCTGACAAACGTTACGTAATTTTCATTCGCGTTAAACGAATCTACGTGAAACGGATACACCGCGTAAATTGAGGAACGCTTGTACCTACGTTAACCATTAAAAACTATTTTTGTTAATTTTTATAAGTTTAAAGATAACTTGAAAACTTTTTTTGTTAACTTTGCTAAGAATGAAGATACGATTTTTTATGCAAATTGATTATGATTTCATTTATTCTCCCTTAGGGCATCTATCCGTTCACCAAAAGGCATCATACCCGTGTGGGATAGATGTCAAAATCGAGACCTTTCATATTTGTGTTCCGTTATAACAACTATTGATCCCGGGCAAATAAATGTAGAATGTAACGACAATAAAATACTACGATATGATATGGATATGAAATTGTTTGGAAACGAAAGCAAATGATGACTTTAGAAGTGTACGTTAAAAACGCAGGCGTCTATCCGTACTTTACCCTGTAACGTGTATAGATGAAAGGAACGCCTAATGTGCGTTAATGTTGTATTAAAAAATACAGGAACATTCGAGGGGGCTCGACGAAAATTACAGGACGTTCGATCCGTACCAAAATAATTGTAGAATATAATGAAAATGAAATATCACGGTATGATATGGACATAAAATTGTTTGGAAACGAAAGCAAATAAGGACTTTAGAAGTGTACGTTAAAACGTAGGCGTCTATCCGTATTTACCCTATAACATGTATAGATGAAAGGAACGCTTAATGCCGTATTAAAAATTACAGGAACATTCGAGGCGGCTCGACGAAAATTACAGGACGTTCGATCCGTACCAGAGTAATTATAGAATACAATGAAAATAAAATACTACGATATGATATGAACATGAAATTGTTCGGAAAGGAAAGCAAATATCAATTTTAGAAGTGTATGTTAAAGCGTAGGCGTCTA